GGGCTTCGACCTGAAAGATCAGGGGTTAGGATTTGCACCCGATCGAAAGAAACCTTGCTATCGCAAGAGTAACTCCAGCTAGCTTCGCTAGCTTTCGTGATTAGTAGAGTTACACTGCTGCATCCCATACTGACTTTGACAACAAGGCGAACACCAGCAGCGACCACGATCTACTTTCCCACCATTCTCCACCGTCCCTTCGTCGCGCGAACTCTCCGCACCTGTGTGAGGTCCACGTCTTTGGGCTCTGGTGCTCCCGCTTCACGGCGGTGTGCCTGGTGGCATGGCGCGGGGTGGAGGCGAAGGCTAGTGGCCTGGTGGTGTGGTGAAGGCCATGGCTCGCGAGAGCGTTGAGATGGATCAAAAGCTTTGATGCCTCGGGTGGTCCTTCTCTAGTCCAGTTGGAGGTGTTGTGTCTTCGGAAACTACGGTGTTGGGCAGCCTTCTGCACTTGTTCAGGTGCAACGGTGCACCCAAGCTTGCTCGATCAGTGTTTGGACATCTCCAAACCACACCGGAGGTGGATCACGTCCCGCTGTCCACACGACCTCCGGTGATTCCCCCCCTTGAGCCCCTCGAGTCTCTCCTTGATGAGCGCCAGGTCCACCTCCAGCAAGTCACGTTGCCATTTGCCAGACGTCACATAGGTGCTGAGGCAGGTGGTCGGAACCAGCCATTTCAGCTCGCGGTAGAGATGTTCATCGCTCTTCGCTGCCTCACTCATGGCTCAAGTCATGCTTTCCCGGCAATCCTTGAGCCCAAAAAGAAAGATAGGGCTCAGTTTTCAAGCGTTGCAGTGCTAGATTCTGCTAGATGACTTGCTTTGAGATTCTTGAGACCTACATCTGCCGGAGGACTCGGATTCGCCTGAATCCTTGAGTCGGTTCGACCACGTCCGAGGTCCAGGACGGACCAGTTGTCGACGACTTCAGGGCCACGGCATGCCGCAGCCACAGTGGCGCTTTTCGATGCAGTCAAACAAGTTCTTGGCATCCAAAAGTTTGAAGAAATTGGTGCTCCAGGATCCTGTGAAGGATCCAACCTACGATAAGACTGTTGTAACAGGAGAACGCAGTTCTCCGACCGCGAGGAGCTCGACGCGAGAGTGCGTGAGAGAAGTCTCCTCTGGACACCGGAAAGTGGCTCTAAAACACGCTCCCAGGAAGCCTCGTATCACCCAAAAGCCTGGACAGAAGGAAATCGCGGAAACAAAGACGATATGCAAAAAGGGTTTGCCAAATGTCTGGTTTTCTGGAAGTGTCTGGCAAAACCCTGAAACGAGTGAATCCTGGATGCAACCAGAAGTTTCACGAATTTCAGGCCTTGGACTTTTTGAAAGTCCCGGGCAGCAAATTCAGCTGTGGATGTTGCCATTGGCATTGTGTGCTGTCTATCTTGACCTGCCATGGCTAGTATGTTGATGTGCCCAGCAGCATCATGAAAGCCAGGTTGATGCCTCAGCTCACTCAGGTTCCTGGCCCACCGTTTCCACGTTCCCAGAAACAAGCACCCCCTGCTTCAAGGACAAGCTTGTTGCTTTCACCGGCAGCCAAACCAAAAACAACGAACAACACCGCCCTGACTTTGCATCGTGACGAACACGTCTTCCCAAGAACAATCTGGCCATGAAAAATCTGCATCGTCTCCCGCCAAGTTCGAGGCCCATGTAGGGCATCACCTCGGTTTTTGCAGCATCAAATGGACTGGCATCATGTGCGGCATCTGCGGTTTTTGCTCGAAGCGATCTATTCAGCTTTGAAGATAGTGACTGAGAACACATCATTGGATCCATTTTGTTGATGCGCATGGCCGACAAAGATCTGAGAACTCTGCCAATGACAGGAGAGTCAAAACCAGGAAGCACAAGGGTCCTTAGAAGCGTCTATGGCATTTGATGCATCCAAACTTGCCTTGCAAAACTATGTGAAGGACAGTCTCCCCAAGAAACCACTCTTGCCAGATCCCAGAGTTTACCATCTCCGACTGCCACCCCACACAAAAAGAAACTGCAGCCGTTTGTTCAGAATGGAGATAGTCTCGGTGCTTTGCAAATCCTTGACCTGCCCTCCAAATAAGGTCAACGGTCCTGTGTGTCTGCTTAGATTGACTACACTTATCGCTATCGCATCCGTTTCGGACAGGTTCAGGGGTAGAAGACTCCACCTTCTTTTCAGTTGATCAATAGAAGCACCCCCCATGGCCCTAAAGAGTTCACCCTCAGTCCAAGAGGCCAATCCATTTCACAATGGTCGAGAGAGTCCTTGGTACCCGTGCACGTTTGGTGGGTTTCTGCAGCTCAGTCCAATGGGACGAGGAACTTGTTCAGGACCAACTTTGAGATTAGTCTTGTCCACCAGGCAGTAGAAACACATGCCTGGCCAGAACAATGTGGTGCAAGTACTGAACCCAAGTGTCGCCTCTGGACTGAAAACTCTGACCCATGTGGCCTGCAGCCAGGAAAGCCTTTGTGCCTGGCAAGCATCGCGCTTCGGTGCGAAGACAAACACCAGTGTCCACCGCCCACACCGCCCACACCGCCCAGCGCCTTCTCCGAGCTCATGTGCTTGGACTGTCCAACCCAAAGATAGGCACAAGGATGCAGGACGTCCAGTGCGATCAAGCTGACCTAATTCTGAAGCCCATGGCGTATGCTGACGTACCAACAAACATGTTTACATGTTTTCAGGCTGCCTAGGCCAAACCGAAAGCTGTGATATCTGCTGGTTCTTGGAAAGATATACTCATACCAATCGATTGCAATGTTAGACCAACTTCACAATACTCGCAACCTTCCCAGTGTAACTTCGGCCCCTCATCTGTCTCAGTCGGCGGCCACAATGCAGGATGCCAAAGAGCCCTGACCGTCCCTGGGAAAAACAACCCGTGCAGTGTGAAACATGACACCTGCTGGTCTTTCATGCTGGCTCCTCAAGGACACCAATCAAAATCAGAGGTTTCATGAGCACACAGACATCTTACTCATGATATGTTGACTGCTACATCTTACCTGTGCATCAAGAAAGTTGTAACATCGTTCGCTAGGAGGCGAATGCAGACGCGGCTGAAAAAAATAATGGCGACAGAAGTGGGTAGTCAAAGGAAATTGAATTCTTGCAAACCGGTTGGTTTTAGGTACTCTACTCCACGTGCAGCTTCTTACAGGTTGCTCCTATCTGTTCAGCCGAAAGTGTTACTCGTTTGCTGTCGTCGGCCACGCCTGTCAGAGTAAGTGAGACCGTAGTGAACCCAAGCTCCAATTGCACCTGCGCGCGTTCAAGGTGAAAAACAACAATCATGAATCCTGAAGAATACCAAAGTCTCCCTATGTCAAGCTAGTTTAAGCTTGTTTACTGCACGCTGTCAACCAGGTTCCAACAAAAAAGGACACAAGGTATCAGGAATGGGTGTCAGCAATCACAGCTTTCGGTACAGGACCTGTACCCAGTTCTGGCCTAAGATCAGCAGCAAGGTCCAATACTTCACTAAGCAAATGGAGGTCCGAGCCCGTTGGCCACCTGACGCGATTTCGGCGGAAGACCATGGCTTTCGCCAAAAACATTCTCAAGCGGCGGAAGACCTTCGCACTGATCTGTGGGCATACGAAGACCAAAGCTTTCATTATATATGGCCTTCTTCTCTTGAACTTTCAAGCAAGGCACTGGATTCAGAGTATGGCTCGAAAGTGACATCTGCACCATAGAAATGAAAGCGTAAGTAGTCCTCAGAAGGACCCGAGCAACTCGATTACGGGTCACTTGAGGCCGTTTTCACGAAAGCTAGGACAATCGGTTGCAAAAGTGCACCACCGTGTAATGCTGGTTTAAAGAATCAACGATGACTTACAGTATCACCTTTGATGGGAGCCGGGCATATCACCGCCGGGGGAGTCCCAGTGAAAGACCACTGCGTTGGCATTTTTGCTAAAGCGAATTCAGCTAGCTTTCATTATTTCAACACCCAGACCATGGCACAACTATGTACTGTAGATGGAAAGGCAGGAACGCTGACAAATTCGGAACCAAGCTGCTTCTGTGGCTTTGATGAAGGAGTAGAAATTTAACGGGAGAGTGACATACAGGCTTTGCGTCGACCGCCAAAGGTTGTCCATGGACAGGAAAATGACCTGGCAATGCATCTCTAGCAAATCACCAAACACCTACAGTAGCACGGACTCTCTGGTTTGTCACAGCTGACACAGCCGAAGGATTACACTGGGAGATCTGATCCATGTCAAACACTCGTCTTTTGCCGCAACAAAAAAAGAACCTCACAACCATGTCTCACAACCAATGCTTCAACACCACCAGATCGAACAACCCCGACTCGGCAAGGTCGGTCAGAGCTCGACGCAACGCCTCTAGTCGTGAACCGACCCGTCACTTCGCACCTCGTTGGTCTCCATGCTCGCCTGCAAGGTGCTTCTCATTGATGCCGCGATGATCATTCCCCAGTTGAGGACCTGAACGGGTGGAAACGAACACCCGAACCTCTTGAAGCGAAAGGGGAACAGGACATGTAGCGAGACAGATTGAGACCATGCTTCCCAACAAAAAGGAGGTGATGTGCCCCAAACACGCCCCCAAAAACGCTGGCATGGCTCAATCCATCGCGTCTCCGTTTTGGCGAACGACCATCCCATCGGTTTTGACGGTTCATTTGATGGGGTCCTGAGAGGTCCCATGGTGTGAACCAGCCTGCAAGACGACAATGAATAAGAACATACCCCAGCAGTTGAAGTGATAGGTCTGCTCCGCGAAGACATTCCAGTAGTTGAAGCCTCAGTGTGGGGACAGTGTGCGGTGTGCCACAACTCTTGGTTTCTTTAGTAGTTGAGTAGTTTGCATTTTTTTTATATATATGTTCTGGGGAGGAGATGCTGCAAGTTCTCAACCAAGCTCGCCACCAATCCAAAAGGCTGGAAGCCACGCCCAAACCTGAATGACAGACACTGACTTGTAGACTTCTCGAAGCTTTCAGAGGTGTCCGCTTCTGTCTCTGCTGAGCCAAGGAACCCAGTGAGAGGTCTGATGCATACCTCACAGGTTGCACTGTGAGTATTTCAGCAACAAACGACCAAACTAACCCCACGGGCTGGGTCCCGACCGAACCCACCTCACGAACTGAAAGAGGGAGAGGCAAAGCCAAGCACTAATGTCGACCAAGATACGGATCAGCAGCCTCCAGGGCCAGCTCAAATGATCCAGAGACACAGAGACTCTGGGCGTCAATTCTCCAAAACAGTACGATTCCAGTGCCTTCATTTAAACTCCCCCTCAATGATCCATGACTAAAGCTGGTCTTTCGGATATTCTGGGATCAACACAGGGCCACGAAACCTCCTTACCTTGCTCCTCAGGCGGCGCGCCTTGCCCAGTGGCGCATTTCGTTGGGCACAGAGAAACAGGAGCAAATGCCACAGGCAGTGAAGGCCTACGACATGGAGTGGTCCCCGTCCTACTCGCAACAACCGGTGCATGTTACTGCTTTTCACACCTTCACCTCCTGTTGCTTTGCAGGGGTTTCAAACATGCACTTGGTATTCAGTACAGGAGCTCAAGAATAAAAAATCACAGCGAATTCTCTCATCAATCAGTCCAGCTGCTTTGCACCGAACTCGGATGGTAGCAACGTACCTTGAAGATCTCTGTCACCAGTAGGAGGAGCAAGAGGCAAACCGACAGGCCTCGCCGAAGCGAAGAGACGGGCCACAGTCGCCTGTACTTGGGTACCACAGTCGCACCCTTGAGAGGCGACACCCTGCATGAACAGTTTGGAACATCCAAATGCCCAAGGATGCCCAAGGCACACTTGGCAAGGTGGACAAGGACTGTTCAATTGATCTGTCTGACTCAATGTCATCCAAACACATCGCCAGAGTTTGAATGTCTTCTCCTTGCTTAGACAGGCAGAGTTCTGCGTTAACTCAGGCCTTTCGTACACGTTGGACTCTCGACTAGTCGCTGACCAGCCTGCAAGCCAAATGGCAAACTCCACGCCCATGGTCACCTGAAGTCCAATGGTCCAAAGGAACAAAGACCAAGAAAACCAACACCTTTTTCTGGGTACCCAACGTAGATCTTGATCAGACTCGGCTTGTTCCCAAAATAGCTGCCTGAGAAAGGTCACGCCAAGTTCATTTGAGCACAGGTTTCATCGGATGTCCAACCAAAGAACAAAGGTTTCACTCACTTCACCCATGGCATGGCTCCCATCTTTGCCTTCGCACGCCTCAAGACAGCTTAAGAGCTCCTTTCCAGCCAAGTTGCTGCCCAGGATCTCCACAAACTCTTTGAAAAGGTCCACCAGCGGCGCCAGGATCCGACTGGGGGCACATCAAAGCGTTACTCATGTGTGCATAGCTAAACGAGATGCCACACGAGAAAGGTCACTCGAAAGTTCCCTCCAGAGGAGATCAACACCTGTCTTGAAACAATCTCCCTTTGTCCGGACCGCACAGACTTCGTGGAAAGGTGTGCGGAACATTGGCGACAAACTCTCCAATCATGCGCCACACCCACTCCATGAGCGGCTGGGTCATCTATCTGCCAAGGGTCTCTACGGTATTCTTCTGCAGAACGCCCATGTCCACGACCAACATGCCCTGGGAGATATTCCCCACCAGGATGCCTTGGAATGCGTTCAACAGCATTAGTTCAGCAGCCCCACAACGCTCCTCCTTTATTCCGCACAACACCAGAGTTGTTCATGACCATCTGGGAGGCCAGCAGAGCCATACTACGAAGAAGATGAAGAAAATGAAGCTGAGCCAAAGCATGAAGCCCTGAGACAACGAAAAAACAACACAACAAGGACAACTGTGTCAGCTCGTGTCCGCAATCCGTTACTGTCTCATCTCCAATCACCTGTTTTCATCCACAATCTGCAGAGCCGCCTGACGCCGACCAAAGAAGGACTGCAGCCAAAACAAGACCTCAAGAGACCGCCGACTCCGCGAAGGAGGACAGAGATGGAGGGCCCGAGACGAGACGAGACGAGGCGGCCGCCACAAGCTAGCAGGCATCTCGAAAATGGCTACCACTTAATGACAGACAAGAACAAGAACAATCATTGGGTGTCAAAAGTCGTAAACTTGAAGAGCGCGAACTGAACAAGGCAGGAACTTCCAGTCTGAGACAGCTGCATGGCCCTCAGCCATGCGCTGCATGGAAGCAAGTGCTTCAGTTCCGCTCCGTGACATGCCGTAGGACAGGCGCCTGCGCGACATGCTCTTCAACTGCCAAACTAGGTATGTTTGAAGCGGCGCAAATGCCATGTTACACGCACGGCTTCAAACAGCAACCCTCAGCACTGGCCTGTTGATGAACTGTGTATGCTGTCCTCTCAGCACTTGGTTCACGCTGCTAGCAATGTGCTCCACCTTGAGAAAGCAAAGAGTCGAGACTTGACGGTCCGGTAGGGTCTTTCCATCAGTGTTCAAAGTGTTAATCAAAAAGATTTCCAGGTGTATACCTGGGCCTTTTTCCTAACTGGAGTTTCTGCCACGTTCTTTGATTGCACGCCCAAACGGATCAACAATACGATCTGTAATCAACTGGGGGTTTGCAAGTTCTCACGTTCACGACAAAGAAGATGCCTGCATCACCCACCATTCACCCAACGGACATTTGGCTGCCTCCCAGGAAGCACCTACACCAACACCCGCAGCATCTCACTCTGGTCCCCTCACTGACTCCACCACTCCACCACTAAGGTGCTCACCTTGCAGGTTTCAGGGAACGAGCGCCGCTCAACTAAGTGCTCTCTCCTGAAGGCGATGATCCCATGTTAGACCCTTCCACCCTGAGCCAAGTAAGAATTCTTCCACCAACCATCGAATTCCATCCGTGTCTCCATTCCTTCGCACAATTGTCATTGAGGACTTTTGGCGTCCTCCTATTCTTTGACATTGGCACGGCTGGAAACGAAAGAGACCAAACGGCGGACCAGACAGCAAGTCCTTTTCCGGTCAGCTTCTCGGACTCTCTTCCGTTCAAACTTCCACAAAGATGTATCATCCTGCCAGTCGCTTAAAGGTGAAAACTGACGATGGAAGGCGCATGTGGCACAGGGCCATCATGGTCCGTTAGGAAGGAAATGAGTGATCTCTTGTGGGTTCGAGCCCTTTTAACTTGACAGTCACGCTACGAAAATACTACAAACTGGAGGCACGTCCACTTTCTGGAAGGGTGGAGGAGGCGTGTCCACTATCTTTTGCATTGTCTGAGCCTAAACGAGTGACTTGTTCGTCGCAGGAGTGAATGATTCAGGCTAACCACACCTCTCGGGTCAGCAGCCGGGTGCTGTTGGTGTCCCATGCGCTGACACCTTACAGGCTGCTTGTGCGTCCGCACCCACAACAGCCATCAAGTTGAACTGGCCAAATGCATTTTTTGGAATGAAGCCCCCAATCCCAACGTGTTTACCGTCCGCAAAGCCAACCTCTGGCTGTGATAGAGATGATACAAAGCCCAAGTCTGTTAGGTCTGTTTAAAGAGTCGCTGCAGCGGCAGCACCGAAAGGACTTTGGCCAAGGTCGGCACCTCCACAACAGTTCTGGATCATACTGTGCAAGCGGAAGAATTGAGCATTGTTTCCTTAGAAATCATCGGAAGTCGATACGGCGAAACAAGAAATGCCTAAATTTTGCACCCCCCACGTGAGCAAAAAGTGAGCTTCGTGCATGGGTACACCAAGCAGGCTGTGTTTGCGCATGGCTTTCAGAATCGATTTGCAAAGTGGCCATCCAAGTAGTCGAGTTCTTCGGCAATCTCGTGGAAGTACAAGGGGCATTGAGTAATGCCAACCTACAAGGGCAAACAGGTTGACAGGTATGGGCAGGTATAAGCACGCGTAAGCACGCGTAAGCACGCAGGCTGGCATGTTGGCAGTTGCAGGTTGAAACTACACAGCTCTGGTGGAGAAAAATGCTCTTGCACCCTGGCCTCTTCATCTAACTCGCCCGAGCGATTGAAGAAGAGTGGAATTGTGGTATGAAAAAAGTCGGGCTGGTACTGGTGGTATGGATCACAAATGCCTCAGCTGCAGGCTCCCTCGCGCAACTCGGTCTTGAGGAGATGATGCCGAAGGAATGTATGAGTTTTAAGCAAGAAGCTGAAGAGGTAAGGAGAGATGTCACGGTCATCTCCATACAAGTTCCTCAGGCACTCTCTCTGAAGAAAAAGGAACTGCGTTCAGAGACCAATGGAGACCAAGCGTCTCTGCACGGCTCGAAAAAAAGTACCTCAGCTAAGAATCGCACTTCACGCTTGCACTGGCTGGCTGAGCGTCAATAAGCATACCAGCAAGGTCAAACACCTGCCACCTTCAGAGTTCTCATTCGACCTTTCGGTTTTCCTTTTGACAAGCAGCATGTAGTTGGCTGCGAAGTTCAGAGCCTGGGTGCTCTCGCCACATCGAGCCAAAGAAAGCCGGAAACGAGCAGCCAAGTTTACTGTACGTTGTGGCCACACACTCGACCAATGATGGGTGTCACATGCCAGAATCTTTACATCGTTGGAATATCCAGGCATGTCGCTATTTTTCTCTTTTTACATCACTCCAGCTTCTCCGGTGGAAATGCAGGTGTCCTGTATGGTTGGAACAGTGCACTCCTGAGCTGCCCTGCCCCTGGCAGACCGCGACTGCTTTGGATCGGAACCAAGTTCACGAAGGGGTCCTGCAACGCCACATGGAAGGCTCGATCACCCGACGAGGAAAAAGGACCCGACTTTGCGAGCTCGAACGCGCTCGGGCTCGATAGGGACGTCTAGCTCGGGACCCAACTTTGTGATGTAACAAGACAGGAGCTCGAACGCAGGCTGAAAGAAGAGCTTTTGTGGGAACCAGTTTGAATACCCCAATTCCTGAGGCACTTGGTCATACGTCTTTGAGGTAACAAGACAGGAGCTCCTGCTCTTCCAGACCATAGACCATCTCTTTTACTTTGCCACGGAGTTGAAGCCAGTTGGCATTGTCTGGATTCTGCGGCACCTTCACAAACAGCGCTTGACAGGATGTTTCTTCTTTAGACCTTCAAACTTTTTTGCCTGTTTTTTTGCTTTCAACGCCTTTTCCGCCACTCCAACCACTAGCTGCTAGCTCCAAAATGTGTATCTAGCTGTGCCTTGTAGTAGTAAATGCCTGGAGCCACGTGCTGTGATTTCACCTGCGATTCGCATCCCGCAAAGAACAAACTCAAAAAGGCTTTGCTGGGATCAGCAGAACATAAAGGGAAGTTGAAGATCAGTGGCTGTCTCTTTTTGCTTTTCCAAACAAAAACTGCAAGTCATGACAAGTCACAGTGCGCTCATCCTCCTCAGGTCTTGCCCTGGCCTAGGGGAGAGTGTCATGCAACACACGCTGGTCACTAAGGTTCAGTGTCGGACACAAGGTACTCGCTCTTCAGATCTCTGAAAGACTTGGCATTCTCACCTCTGAGATTCTAAAGGAAATGAAGTGATCCTTCTTGGATATGCAACCGAACTCTACCCAATCTCGCCCCCGTGCAGAGAGCGCCCCACACCGATCCCCGGGACATTCACATGCTCAGGACCTTCCCCACTCCGCAGTGACGGTCCCAGGAGCCAGGTAGTGCAAGCGCAAGGGCAAGGCATTCCGATCTTTCGGCTCCCAGTCATGGACCTCAGTGACCCAAAGCTCGGTGACCACAGAGGGAGTACGGATCCTTCCGGACTCTCTTCGTTGACCCCTCAGTTGACCCCTCCCATGCACCTGGGTCTATGCCGAAGTGAGGGCATGCACGGGGTCTCCCTTCTAGCCAGCTGGTCTGGGTTCCAAATCGTTAACTCTCGACCCACTCGCCAACCAATCAACCCAAAAGAAAAGGTCGGATGCGAAAAAACGGAAAACAGGAGGCTGATTTCGACAAGAATCTGTATCGCTCAGCAGGTCGAAGACATTCTCTTCATCTGTAGTGGACAAAGCCTCTCCAAATCCCACTGCAAACGGCTCAAGTGCGAAGAATTCACCAAGGGGTCTGAGACACAAAAGATCCAGCATGACCAAAACCCCCCCGGCTGGGCACAGAGACTTTCGTTTTTCTGCGGCCGAACCGCCCTCCTTCTGTACTTCAACTAGCAAGATGGTCAAGCCGCAGACAAAAGTTCTCTTCTTCACCACCAAAGGGCCTAGTTAACAAGAACCGGCTTCGACCTTTACGGTCTTCAACTCCAAGCCCTTGTGGCCAAATGCCTGGAGCAATGACGCGTGGATTGCTCTGGATGGGTTTGCATGTTTAATAGGGAGGGAGGGGAGGTCTCCAACCAATCCGTTTTTGTCTAGTCTCCTTCTTCCAGGAGTCTCCCTATTACACCGCATCCGACCAACTCCGTTTGGAGAAAACACCGCTCCAGCGAAACGCCGACACCGGCACAGCACCGCGTCCATGCGTCCGTTGAATGACTCTCCGCTGCTTCGACCAGTCCAACCAGACCTCGTAGAGCTGTTCAACCACGGTTTCCAACTGCATGAGGTACCGCCCATCCTGCGCGCCCACAACGGCGAAGAACAGACACCACGCCCATTTCTCAACTCACATGGCTCATGATGCTTTCGATATCAGATTCTCTGCCGTAGGAGTAGGAAGATTCAAAAGTAAAAGTCTGGTGTCGTTCTCAGCCAAGCTTTCTCACTTGGTGCCACAGCCCGACAATCGGTCCATCCATGACCAGGTGTTTTCCCGCAGGGTTTGGAGAGTCACACGACCACCTCAGTTGCTGTATCTTCCTCGCTGAACCCCATTCCATTGCCATTGGATAACCGACCAAAAGCCGTGGTAGACTCCGTTGAGAGGCCAACACTACACAGATGTGCCATGTCCAGTCCACCTGTGACCGTGCCAAGGCACTGAGATACTCAGCGGCTTCCTGAGCAGACAGGGGCCTGAGTCATTACCTTGCCAGTTCGATATGAGCTCGAACCAGAAACAAAGTGGTCGCTTTTGTGAAGGGAGAGTGATGAAATGGCTGCACCCATAAAGGATGGTTTTGCTTTGGAAGAGGACCTCGCCTTCTGGCCGCTTTAAAAAATTCAACCCTAATATGGTCCCGGGCCTTCTCCAAGCCTCCTTCAGCTCTAAGTCTGCTGATATCCTCGGGGGCGCCAAGACCACCATCTTTTAGAAAGTCTAAGACTGCATCTTGATTCCTGCGTCAAAATATCCCAAAGAGTAAACACGAGGGTAGGATAGGAGTCCCGATATAAAGACATAATGGTCCATAATGGTCGTCTCTGTGCAGACTTGCGGCGATTCGTTTCGTTCCTTCCACCCAAACATGGAAGAACTGTCGCACGTTCTCTTCCAGCGAGTAGGGTTCGTCAAAACCTGCTGCGAAAATCTCATCACTGACTGACCATAGCAAGAAAACATCACCAACTGACGCTGTCCGACGGCCTCAAGTTCTATCATGCGAGTACGTCTCAAAACGTGGGGAACCCAGCATCCAGTTTGCAAACAAAAATGGAGTTTCGTGTTTTGAGACACGCCCGCATGTTTGCGAGCCAGGACAAGACCGCCGGCCTGGAATTGCATCCAAAATTTTGGTGAAAATCCTGAGATTGATTGCCAATAGCATTAGTTTTGTTTACTAGTAGTAACAAGTGCCACGCTAGTAGTAACAGGTGCCTTACTAGTAGTAACAAGAAGCTACTAGGAACAAGTGCCACGCTAGTAGTAACAGGTGCCTTACTAGTAGTAACAAAATGCTAGGCACCAACAAGTCACAACTAAATGTCCTTTGGTCCTCTCAATATGTTCTCGCTCTTTCTTCTCTCTCTCTCTCTCTCTCTCTCTCTCGCTGAACCTATCTGTATACCGTATATTGAGAGTCCACTGTTGCAGAGAAAACGGTGCACAAATCTCGGAAGGGATCACAGTCATCGTTCCATTCACATCTGACCTTCATCACCAATTCGATACAAGAATCTCCATCATCTGCTTCTGCTCTGTTCGGTGGTGGTCGTCGGCAAGAGTGACATGGAAGCGACACTCACATGCCTGGCAAGCGGTAAGCAAAAAGGATTCCCCATCAAGAAGCGCCTTGGGTTGGCTGCCGCCAATGCAACTATTAACGCACGCTGCATACTACAAAACCGACAACCCCTCTAACTGACTGCACGACCACTGCTTTTCAATCAGAAAGACTTCAGCATTCAGCATGTTGCCTTCAGCATTAAGCGGGCCGATTCAGTATGCCGTCGTCTGCTTGCCTTCGGCATACAGGCCACCGCACCAATCAGGCTCCTGTGAGCATTCAACTTCCAACGCAACACTCTTGACAGAAACCAGCGTATGCTGTGCGAGTAGAATAAAAACACATCATCCTGGCGCTGCTTGATCCTCACAACCCTTCTACTAATTTCCCTAACGATCCTTCCGAATCCTTCACTCTGAAAAGGTTGTGCCTTAAAAGGTGACTTGTGGAAATGCCATGAGGACGTTGCTTTCCTGTGCCTTGAAATTCAGGCTCACCCAAACCTCCTGGTGAGTCTGTGACTGTCTGTGACTTCTTCCTTCGCAAGGAATACCTTCCCCAAGAGGCCCAAGAGCGGTTTCTGTCCTCAAAGTAATGGACTTCTTCTCTCCGCTGCTGGCGATGCAAACATTAATGCATCCTCGGTGTAGATGCTCTCACAGAAACATGGCGAGACTGGCTGATTGTAGGACTATGAATAAAACTGGCATCCAGATGGGGAGGGGCCAAATAAACTTATATACAAATATATACAGTACATCCATTGGTTGGGCAGTCGACAAGCCCCAACAACATCACCAAGCAGAGTGCAAGATGGTCCTTCTCCTGGAACACACTCCTTTGTCAGTTCAGCAAGGGACGAAATAATACGACCGCCCCCCTTGGCTTCGTCTCACCTCGCACACCGGAAAACGGCTGTTTTGTCTATGTACATCAAGAACAAGATCAGCTCCGGTTTGTGAAGCAGCTGTCAGAAGAGGTCATACTTTGTCCTCTTCCAGTCCTGAGCCTTCCACTCGCCAAAAAGCATGGCTTCCTGATCCGAGACCATGCCATGGGGCGTGCTGATCCCATCCGTGTAAAGCTCAACATCCGGGGCTTCAAGCTCCCATATTCTCTCCAAAATACTGAGTTTCACATTGCTCACATCCACATAATTCATACTAATCCCATGAATGGGCTCCAGATTTCTCACTGCATGAGGATTTCCCGCTGGAATGAAGATTGTCTCTCCAGGCTCTTGGATCCCCACAAACTGCTTTGCATAGGAAGCCAAGGGAAACTTCTTATGATCAGGTCGGAAGACATCGTAGTGGAAGTGAGCACCCACGGGGCTGGCATAGAGGTTCACCAGGTCCTGGGCGGAATAGAAGCGCCACTCCTTTCGTCCACTCAGGAGGTGAAGCATGAAATTCGTATTGCCTGAATCAATATGAAGGGAGCTCTGTGTCTCACTGGAGCCAATAAACAAGCTTGGCCAGGAGTGCTGATATCCTTCAAAAGCAGCTCGCTGAAAATAGTCGCCTACAAAGTATTTGGGCACTGTGAATCCACTGAAGGGTGCAGGACCAAAGACCTGTGGACAGTTACGGGGCAAGCTCCAGTCATGGAGGTACCACTTGCGGCGAGTTCTGTTCGAGGCGAAGCTGTCGATGAATTCGCCCAATGGAAGCCGTCCGGCATCTTGTAGCCTTCCCCAGTCATCAGACTTCGGATTTCTCCTCTTGAGGGGCACAGAGACGTTGCAGCGATCTTTGAAGAATTTCAAAGTCCATGGAGCACCCCCTGTGATGTTGATGCCTGTAATAATCACAGGCAATCCTTTCTTCGCATAGTCTTCGATGAACTCCCTCACCGAGAGCTCTGCAGCAGATCGTCGCGGGACTTGGCGAGCTGAAGGTAGCTCTCCCAGACCAGCTTGAGCTTGGTCGTGAAGCATGAGGAAAAACCTCCTGAACAAAGCACCAAGTAAGTCCAGGCCACCTGTGAGCATTTTCTTGAACTTCTCCTCCCTTGACGGCTTTTCAGTGTCTTCAAGAGCCTGCAGAAAGCTCAGGCGCTCTTCCATCTCTCTCCAAACAGAGAGGCGATATGATTTGTTGCTGAGCATCTCCTCAACATCATCAATGCTGGATACCAAAAGCTTCATGTGCCTTGCCAAAGGGCATGAAATGAACAGCTGAACAGAAACGGCAAAATGTAAACCCTTCCTGTGTGGTGAATGTCAAAGAGAATTGGGTCTTTATTCTTGGTTCAAGCGTTCTAAAGTGGGTCAAACTCGTGTGTGTGTGTGTGATGTGAAGAAGGGCTTCATCAGCTATTTCAGATCCCTCGCTGGCACACTCTTGCGAGCCACCTCCAAAGCATTGGACATCATGCTCTTGCATCTTCTACCTCAACATCCAGGACAACTTTCCATACCCAACCTTTGGCAACACCTCCATACTCACTTCCACGACACACCAACCGACATCCATCTTACCGCCATCAACGACGACCTCGTCGGCTTCTTCAACAGCGTACCGCAGCAACGATTGATTGAAGCAGTCATGAGCCTCTGCACTCGCTGGCGACTCCAACACCATACCACCACCCTCACCATTGATGTCCAATCCACTGGCAATCCCATTCAACACTCCCACATCGGCCGGCACTACATCCACCACCCACAGCAACGCACTATCAACACACAACACATCCCTCTCATTGTTCAACATGCACTTCAATCATGCTTTTCCACGCCTGCAACTCATACTACAAACAGATCCAAGGTGCCGGCATTGGCAGCCAACTTTCCCCAGCTCTATGCAACGTTGCCATCACCCTCATTGAACACACTTGGCAAACTACATACCAAGATTTTCTTCAACAACCCAGCCTACACCGTTTCAATACACGCTATGTCGACAACCGCTACATCATGCTCAACGAACAACTCAGACAAGCACTACCCATCACAACATTCGCCCACCCTGATTTTTGCGAACACCCAGTTGAAATAGAGCCAGTGGACGACGACCATCTACTCGGCTTCCACATTGATCCGCTCAACAGAACATTCACTTTCCAGCTTCCCACACACCCATGGCAGATTCGCGATCCACAGTCCGCAGGCAGCCACAGATTACGGCTCTCAGGCCTACAATCAAGACATCATACATTACGTCAATACACATACCCCCAGCACCTGATCACAACCACATCCCAACAGTTGATGCAGCTCTATATGACAAAAGGTCATTCATACGAACATTGCGCCGCGGCGCTGCGGCCACGATCAAAAAGAGCGAGATTTTCTGCTGACAGCTGTTCATTTATTCTTCCGTTTATCTATTTATTTATTCGTCTTTACATGACCTACCTGCGCCGGTTTCGGCTTTCTGTGTGTGTCCAACCCTGTTTCCAAGGGCACTATAATAGCTATTCCTTCTACTCTTGTCATGCCACTTGTACAGCGTACCAGCAGGGGGGCAGTGAATCTCATTCCATCCACTGCCCAACGAAGACGGTGGTTTGAGATTGTGAAATGACTCCGGGACGCTGGAGTCACGTACCTGCCGAATTGTTTCACTTGATTCCTCCACGTTTTGTTCAAACATTCTGGTCGACTGACTCAGCACTTCTTTTTAGTCAAGGTCTAATTTGCAGCAACTCTAAAGAGCTAATGCACTCCGCGAAGCAGCCTGAAATCGCGCTCTACGGAGCAACCTTCTCAAGTGTGTGTGATGTGAAGAAGTGAGGATCAATTTAACTCTCGTGGGCCCCACACAAAAACCTGCCATGGCAAGGCAAATTCTTTGTTGTTAGAGCTTCTGTGAAGGCTTGCTACTGGACTGCTTGAAAACCAAGACCCTCCGATCCTATTGCAGTGAGGACCACTGCCTAACTGGAACCTTTACGTCGAACTGTTGTGGTTCGCCACTTCGGGGGACTACCAAGCACCCCTTAGACTCGAACCACCGCTGACGAGGAACATCCGTTCGTGAAAGAATGACTTCTTGGCCTAAGGACTTTTTGTCCGTTGTCATTGTGCCTCTTTGTGCTGGAAAAATGCATAGATAGATATTGAGTATTCCATTGCCAGTGACAGTGGATGATGATGATCACTAAAGGCCTTTCTCCAAAATAGTGATTGTTGTTTACCAACTGTTATAGGTAATGGGACAGACCCGAGATAAATAAATAGCCAACCTAGTGTTCCCCCGTTTCCGCAAAGAGTTTCCTGACCAAATCACATGTACGAGCGCTCGCTCAAGGACTTGTATCAAGGTTGCTATGCAGGATCAAAGAATCAATACTTGATTTGTTTCCTTCTCTAAGCATGCAGCGAAACACAAAGACTTTAGGAGCACTGAAGCGCACTGTGAAGGCATGAGATTTAAGATCGCAATGTAGGATTGGAGTCGAGTCTAGGCCCATGCGCAGGAGTTAAACCCTGATGTCAACGCCATTTGAAGGAAGCATGACAACATAAACGGCTTCTTTTGTTCCGAGTGGAGAAGAGAGTGTTCTTGAAATAACGACAAGTCGATTCTGTCAGAGGTCGCTGCACTACTACATGGGCAAAAAAGCAACGTTGCTCTGCGATGCTTCTGAGCTCCTGAGTTGGGCCCGAACCCCCCCCGCCTGTGAACCTTCTGTGATCTGTCAATGGCCGAGAAGTCAAAAAACAATCGCTGGCCCCATGCCTGCTGAAACTCTGGCGCAAGATCACCATGTGCTGCAAACAGGCGAGGTAGATCCTATAAGTCGTCAAAGCTGAGGTGTTCTCAGTGATGATGGCCCAGTCTCCCAAGAAGTTCTCGGACGAATCAGCTTCAGTCTCGTCGATGTCTGCTGCTCCAATGTCTGGATTAAAGTAGATCCTCAAGGGAAAGCGATCTGGATCTTGCAAGATCTCTTTGGTCTCCGACTCCCGAAAACGAATCGTTTGCCCATCCACATCCACCACCTTGTAGCGCAAACCTTCATCCGTGACCTTCACCTTTTCATTCTTAAGAACTTCCAAGACCTGCAAAGGCCAAGCTTCCTGCCATGCAATCTCCTCAAACTCCTTCCCCTGGAGTCTCTCGGCTTCACCGGAGCGGTGACCGGCCGCCGCCGCTTCCGCCGCCTGGTCCACGCGCCGGCGCACGGCCGCCGTGGCGTCGAGAAGCCGTGCGTGCAGCGCGCGGCTCGCGGCGCTCGGTCCTTCACGAAGGATCGTCTCCAGCGCCAGGTCCGAGGTGTTCATGGACTCCGTGTCAACGACCACCACGGCAGGACAGTCCACCGAGAACTGCGCCTGGAATTCGTGGCAATCAGCCCAGGTGAGTTGAAAGTACTTGATGTCCAGTTCAGCTTCAATCTCAGCGAAGAGCGCCTTGCCTTCTTTGACCGAATCCTTGCTGGTTGCCAGAAAGATTACTAAGGAAGCGGGTTGTTCTAGGAAGATCCAGCTATTGTCTGGGGTGATCTCCTTCAACACAACTGGCCTCTGCAGACGAAGCCAGTCAATCAGCTTGTCTTCATTGCAGAGAACCTTCATGGATGATTCGACATTTGCAGAGATCGGTCCAGGAAGAGCCTTTGCTGCGGAATTACGGATGTACAGCACACTGGGATGTACAGCACCATGCACCAATCCAGAACAAAGGCTCTGTCTGGCTTGTGCGAAGATCATCTCTCCACCGAGATGACGTGCTGCAGCTTGGAATGCTGCGGTCAGGTTGGCCTCATCTACAGTGCCTTCTTCAAGACCACAACCCAAAATAAATGGCCCTGGGAATTGTGTGAAGAGAAACTCGAGATCTTCCGAGCTATTCTGCATTTCTCCTTTAGGAATTAAGTCACGCTGTAGGAAATTCAGTAGGTGTTTCTTCTTCACAACACCCTTGTACTCCTGCTGGCAAAATCCATCCTTGTAGTGCAAAATAATCAATGGATAAAAGCGGGGGCGTCCAAATCGGAAGGACTTTTTCGAGGGGTTCGGCTCCTGCCATGCCAATTGGACCTCCGGAGCCTCACGGAACGTCAAATAGCTATGAACTGTGATGTCCACAGCTCCAAAGTAGCCAAGAGGTGTAGGACTTTTCGCCAAGGCATCCGCAGTCTGCTCAATGGCTGGCTGTAGCTCGCGAAAGGACTGTGACCGTGGGTCATAAAAAGCGATGAACAAGGAGTGGTTTCGAAGCTCCCTGAGAGTTTCATTGAAGTTCAGAGTGCCGATCTGGATGACATTGGGGCTCCTGAAGTGCGACTCCCCAGACTCCCACCAGTTCGCCGTGCAGCCATGGCCACTGCAAGTGGCGGAATCGGCACGCGTGAGTGTCCGCACGGAGGACACAAAGACTAAGATCGCTGCAATCTCTCTGCACATTGCTGAAAGGCCATGGCTGTCGTCACTTCTCTTGGGACTATTGAGGAAATGCAAAGAATTGTTCAGTGTATGTCAGTATTCCTTTGAGGTACTTCCTGAGCAACTTGCTGTTTTTGTCAGGGTCCTACATCTGTTCAGCAGTGTGTCCAAGAAATTTGGAAGGACAAACGCCTGTTGGACTGCATTCTTGCAGTACATCAACTCCAATGCACGCTGCCATCAGTTCTGTCTGTGCTTCTATCGCTGGGCTGTCAAACTGCAGTGTTTCTGGAGGTTTTTGATTGAGGTTGCTGGAGCGGAAAGACTCCTTGCATGCCATGGCTCTGAGGCTACTGGTGAGATCTGGATCATACCTCGCAAGGCATCACACCGGTGCTGCGGTGTGCAAACTTCCTTCAAGGACTCAGTCTATAGGGCTGAATCACTTAAACGATACCCTCTGTCTAAGAGTAACAGACGTTTCCAAATCCAAAAGCATATCCGAAAGGGATGGACAATCACTAGAATGGAATTCATTTTTCTATCTGGCTGTGATAAAAACCCGGAGACCTTGGTTGACCACCGAAAATGAAACAGAATAGACTACGAGGGGAGTTCAACCTACCACTCCGGGTTTTGACCCACAACCATTTGGCACTCACTAAAATGGAGTTTTTTTTCCAAAGAAAACACCCTTCTCCTGCCCGCACGCCTCCGGTAGTGTGAATAGTAGCTGAAGATGCCAGGGCAAAGCAAGACCACCTACGACGTTTTTCTGCAAAAGCGAAACGTTCAAGTCAAACAGCCACACCTCCCGCAACCGAATCATTGTTCAGAACATCCGTTACATGCTAGTGGCCTCAGTTGCTATAGAAATGAACGTGTTTGATCTGTTTCATTGGCTGCAAAAGAATCTCCTGCACTCCCCCTCATGTCCATAGCCAGGTCCGAACCTTCAATGAGAAGCAAAGGATCAGCATGTAGCCTCGAGTCAGTGCGTTTGAACAGCATGGGTTTTAGACCCAAGGAGTGCAAGCCACCGGTTTGCTCTCCACAAGTTGGAATCACTCGCTTCCCGGCCACCAAGCAACAAAGGGATTCCTACTCAACCAACCAACAAAGGGATTCGCTGCACCTTCCCAGTGGCCATGTGAGAACACGACACGCCCTGATCACCGCGGAGGATGAAAATCGGTCCCCTCGCAGTCACCGGTGGATCTTTCGCATTGAACGCAGTCGAAAGAAAATATAAGTGCGATTTCACGTAGATCAAACCATGATAGCTTCAAATGGTTGTAGCAACCTGAGACTGGGATGTTCCAAAGCGTCAGATACCCTGAAAATTCAGAACACGGTCCAAGCTTCCCTGCAAACATCTTCCGCTCCGTGCTCGGCGAGGCGCGCGCAACGACGGGCCGGGTCCAACGGCACGCGCGGGAACCGCTGGGACCCTGACATAGGATTCGCACCGGCGTGGAATTGTTGGTCTCCCACTGGCAAGGACATGCGTCGATGGTGTGAACCGAAAAGCACACCTACCACAGCTCTCATGAGAGGTGGACACCTCTCATTAAGACGACCCTTCAGTGAAAAGTCGTTTCATTTTATCACTGAAGTGATCATCTACTGTGGCTGCTCATCCAATATCATTCAATGTTCCCTTTTCAATCTGGATCTCGATTTGGAGACCTCGTCCTAACACTCTAATAAATGAAGATGGTGCACTGATAGTGTCACGAACAATGAAGTGGATAGTACCCCGACTTGACCATTTAAATGCAAAAATGGAATACAATAATGTATTTACTTCTGATTTGTCCGAGACCTGAGTCCCCATGACATCAACCCACGAAAACAGGGACTCATCCTCCCATCTGTGAGGCCTGCACCGGGCCAACTAATGCTGATTGGAGGATTCGTCCATCTGCTGTGCAGTTTGGCATGGAAGGCCTGAGCCAAACCACAGTCACCCGACTGCAGTCACCTCTCCATGGCAAACAAATTGCATGCCAAGGTGGTGGCTGATGGAGAAGGCAGGCATGAGCACAACGTCCAGAAACTTCAAGACATCTGTCCTTGGATGCAAGAGATCGAGTGACTAACCATAGCGGTTACAAACATCAGCCTTTCCAAAACCATCCAAGATTCATTGAATGGAGGAGGAGCTGCTTTTTGACCAGCAGTGAAGCCCTTGAAGTCCTTCCAGAGTGAGTCTCTTTCAACTCAAGTAGACACTATGTGTTTCTTGAAGTACCTGTTCATCCGGCTCTTTACTTGGCTGCCTTCTCTGCCACAAAAAGGTTTATGCTGTCAATGGCCACAATATGCTGTCAATGTTTTCAGCTGAATTTTATCTGATATGTCTGATATGTGATATGTTCGCCTTCAGCAGGAAACCAAGAACCCTGTGAGATCCTTGAGGTTCACTCTAAAAAAGAAGGGACTTGGATTGACTCTTCTCGCCCCATCTGTACCACTTCCGAATCACCGATCGACTTGCTCAGCCTCATGGCGATAGACTGAGCCGTTAATGGCGCAGGCCACCAAATAGAGGGGGCCCTGCTTGCCGTAGCACCAATGCGGATCCATGGTTAACCTGTCTGATTGAGATTCGATGAGACTGGCTGCTGCCAGGGATAACACAAGCTCTCCTCAATGGAAAAAAAAGGATGTCACCGATCCGTTCTAATTCTGACCCACGTGAAGCGTTCGGCCTGTTCTGCTGCTGAAAATGCATGCGGAAGCGAGCAAAGTCGCCAATAATGGGGCCGACCCCCTCTTCAAGGTCTTCATCCAAAACTGCAGCAGAAACGGCTGGGAGCTGCGGCCCCAGATTTATTGGTGCAGGCTTAAGCGGCTAGCTTGTTTGGCAAAAATGACAGGTCGCTTCACTCAGACTTGCTTCTCCTAAAGTTTCAGACAAGTGTATCTATATATATATATATAATTCTGCATAAATCCATCCAATCCGGCTCCAATTCTAAAACGTGGCAACGAACCTCAGGCCACACGCTTTCTCGAAAGCGTAATTCGAGCCTGTAGGGTTATCGACATGTATCATGTATGGGCATAGATTCACACCCTGCCTTTCCATGCGTGCGTGCCCACTCAAGCACGCTTGAAACCCGTTAGTGATCACAGCTTCCAGTGCACTTACTCGGTCTCCTGAGGTTCCGGTTCCTCAAGACTTCCATCATCTCACTTCCTTTTTCTTGTTTTTCTTCTTCTTCTTCTCCTTCTTCTTCTTCACTTTCACTTTCATCATTTTCTCTTCTGGCCTGACGGTCTGGCCTTTCACATTCAATTCAATGGCATCCAAGGCGGACCATAGTGCGCCGCAATCCACCCCAGCCATTCTGACAGCTCAAGTGGGCAATCACTGCTCTCACGCCCCTTTCTGATATGAACGGTGTCTTGGCGCAAGCTCTTGATATAGTCTATCACCTCCTTTCTTGCCTCCGGCCCTCCAGCGATGATCATCTCCTCTGCAATTGCTTGAACATCTGATCCCCGGTCGTCTGCCTGAATTGTCTCGCCTTGACGATGATGCGCCTCTGTCTGTTTCGGTCTTCTAGAGCCGATAGGCTTGATATACTCTGCCTCCTCCTCCTCCTCTACGCGCTTTGCAAGGCTACCATTGTCAGTCATGCTCTCCTCAGAGTACTCATCTTCTTTTCCTTCAACTCTCACCGTTCTCACATGCGTTTCGTGCTCTCTGATGTACTCTTCATGGTCCACGTAGGTTGTTGTCTCAATGTTGTCTCAATCACTCCTTCTTTCTCATTCTCTACCGCTTCGTTCTTCATTCCGCCATGGCATTGGCCGACAACTTCTCTGAATGATAGGCTTGAATTGTTGGCCTCCTGGTTCATTGCTTCCGGCTGACTGGTTTCTCTCATTTGTCCAGCTGCGCCGTTCTCCTCTCTGCACGTTCCATTGCGACAAATCAACCCTGTCATACTCGTCGTCTGCGCTATCTTCCAGCGCTCGCTACGCCTGCCAGTCTGGCCTGCTAGCGTGGCTCTCAGCAGATCCCAAGAATCTCTGTGCTCCCTCAACTTTGCACTCAACTTCCACAACACTCGAAGCCAAATCACAACGACAACGCACAACAACAATGTCATCAATGCCTTTGCGCGAATGATTTCCTCCAACGTCTCTGTCCCTGGCGCTCTTCTTATCGCAAGACCATTTGGCTGTTGCTCTTCCCTGCGCTGCCTTTCTTGCCCAATGGTGAATGTAGCCCGGCCCAAGGCTGCGTCTTTGAGTGGCGCAGTCACGGTTAGCCTGACTAATCTCGTTGGTCGCCGCGGCCTTCTCTGGAACATCCTCTTCGCTGTCAACCATTCTTCTCTCACCTGGAGTCTTTTCTGCAGTTCTGCCTTCATTCTTTCACTATCGAGCTCCTCCTTGACCAAATCTCTTCTGCCTCATTTGCGAAGCCCGTCGGGAACAATAACACGTTCACTGCGCTGGGTTCGTCACTGTGTCCAGCTCAAGACAGGGGACATAGGAGTCAGCAATGCTTCACTTGCCCGCTCCTACTCTCTGAGCAATTGCCAAGTATGGTGACCACAAGCCTTACCTTCCCGTCTGTCAAGCGCTCTATGATGCTCTTGCTACGTACTCTACTGACTCTGTACTCAACAGGGTGTCTTCTGAGTCGGTGCGTGGAAATGAACCCAGCTTCCACCCAGAAAAATGCATCCTGCGCTCTGGTTGCCTTGCTCCCTGACCTACCTGAGTCACAAGCAACCTCCAACAACCACATCTCTTCAGCTTCTAACAAAGGCGCAGCAGTAAGACCTCTTCTCGCGCTCAATTCCTGAAGCATTGTTCCTTCGCTAGCTTCTCATGACCAGATGGACATCCACTGCGGCGATCAACTTCTGACGCGCTCTCCATGCCTGGCCAATCACCGGCCATGTAGGTCCGCTCATCATCTTCAACCATGGTGCTGCCATCTTCAACTCCACTTCCTGGCTTGGCTTCTTGAGGGGACTCATCATCTTCACCAAATCGTGGGCATACTTCTCGTTCACCATCATCATCATCATCATCGTGGTTAGCGAGGTATTCACCAAAATCATCTTCTTGTACTTCGTGAGTTGGTCAATCACCCTGGCCACTTCTTTGTCTTCTCCTCCAAGTACCATCTCATCGACATGAACCAACAAGACCACCACCAAACCTTCCAAGGCTATCATGATTGCATGACCTTCACCTCCTCTTGCTTCTCCTCAATTTCTCCATCAACCTGTCAAATTTGAGCTTCAGCTGTAAGCAAGTTGCGATGGAACCTTTGCTGAAGACTCCGCGAGTGAGCCTCACAGCTCCATTCTCGCCTGCAATCTGCCATCCTCTTCGCCAATGCAAGGAGGGTTCAGCCACATTGGACAACGCAAAGCTCTCTTTCAACTGTACCGCGTGGCCATTTCATCCTCTCAAAGCACCATTGCCTGGCGCATCTTTCAGCATGTCTCATGTCTGAGTGTGCTCGTCTTGGCCAATGGAAATCCAACGCCTTTGAATGAAATAGGAAGGACTGAAATGTCTGCAAGCCTGCTCCGGTGTGCTTGTGATGCGGACACAGAGCACCGTCTTGACTCTCCTGCCAGTCTTTGCATGATCTGTCGAGGGTGCAGCAGTTGAAACCTGGCCCACACAGTCTCCCCCCCAAGTCTGAGTCAGCGTGGAAGTGGATTATTGACTTGGTGTTCTCATACAGCATTCACGGCCCCAATGGCCCTTGCCTCCATACAATTTGTCAAACATCTTGCGGGAGACCTTTGCCCTTTCTTTTACCATCCTCTCCTTTTCCATCGTTGCCTTTCTACTGCTTCACCTTTTCTTTGTGGTCGTACCTGCTGTGTCACCCATGGCCTCTGCCCTTCTGCTTACCTTTTCCTTTGCTGCCTTTGTCCTTTCCTTTCCATTTGCTGCCTTTCTCCTTGCCTTTCACTCTGTCAACATCCATCAGGACCGCCTCGTCCTTGTCGTGATCCTTGATGATTACATCTCCTCTTTGGCCACCTTGGCATACTCTTCCGCCACGCGCTCAAGACCAAGGAGCTGCTCCAACACCGTAGTGCCCTTGTCCTTCGTGAAACTTGGATGGCCCACGAAGCCCTGGAGCAAAGCAATCGACCGTGATCTGGTCTTTGGCGCCAGCTGGGATGACAACAACAGCCCACAAGAGCGCCAAGGGCCGATTCCGCAAGAGGCCAACGAGGATGGCATACAACTTCTCAGCTCTCACCTGCTCCTCCTTTATCACGCTTCTCAACTTCACTTTCTCTTCTGAACCTTCTATGGTCGCAAGCTCTTTGTTGTAGGCCTCCTCAGCAAACACGCTTACAACCTTGCTGGCGGTTGCAAAGCCCTCTCCATCTTTCTTCTCACCTTTCTCTTTCACCTCCTTCAACATCTTGACGGCTTCCTGAGCCATCTCTGTTGATTGGTGTGATGCCTCCACCAGCGCCCCTGCCACATCGGCAATGAGCCCCCTGGGTGGCTCCGCTACCATGAAAACGTGGCAACGAACCGCCGGCCGCATGCTTTTCTCGAAAGCGTGATTCGAGCCTGTAGGGTTGTCGACATGTATGGGCATGGATTCACACATTCACAGAGCTTTGGCTATGGCAGTGAAATGTGCACACCTCCAAAAGCTCAGAGCATCGACTTTCGACCCGTCCGGATGCCTTTCGTGATTGGATCTCCAGCAGCATCGACCGGAACGGGCGGCTTCGTCTTCACGTATGCCTGGGCCAGGCAAAACAACCATTCAGGGTGGCAGACATTCATGAAATGATCCCATTTGCACTTTACATGCCGAAAAAGACCATGGCGTACCTTGATTATCATGAGTCATGAACATAAGCAAAAATGATAGCAAATGATCCTTTGAGAAGTGTCCACTCATCCAGTCTCTTCATCACGACCTATCACCACTGCCTCGTACAAAGGACGCCATATACCCGGCGTGGCTTCCTGAATCCATTCCACGTGTCGAAGAAAAAACACCCGGGGGACCAACGTCTCCACATCGGCTAAGAACCAAACCGACGTCTCCAGGATCACCGTTGCAGGTTGGGAGAGGATGCTGTCCCCTTGTGGTTGGCCTAAAGAGCGAGGAAAGGAACAGAGCCAGGCCTCATTGGTTGTTCATGTTGAAACACAAGCTGAATGATGTTGTTCGAAAGACGGAACCCAGCCTAATCCACGTACAGAGACCTGAAATTTGGGCCTCGTGACATTAGCCAAAGCACTGCATGTCTTCGTTGGTTGTTTGCATCCCAAGCCTCTCTTCAAAGCTGAGTTCGTGGCAAGGATGCATAGATGTAGGAGCTTTTTGCATCTTCACCATCCCCTGTGCTTTAAACTTTAATACTAATACGGTCGACTCTGAACACATACGCGAAACATCGCCACGAATTGTCCAGAACAGGACAGCAGAACAAACAAAGAGAGACAAACAAACACTGATCATTCAGGCCTCCAGCTTGTCCCCTTCCCACAACACCAAAAAAAGTAAAAAACATACTGTTTTGCTGACTCTCTCTGAATCTTACACCCTTCAGAAAGATCCCAAAGTGACATCTGACGATGCTTTCGTGCCGTGCTTCGTGCGGAGCGTCCTGCCTGAGAAGAGCCCACCGATGCCGCCCCCATCGGTGTCATCGCCGGGCAGCGGCACGCCCGGAAAGCCCGTAAGCCCCGGGATGCCGGGCATGCCAGGGATCTGAAGGCGTCGGAAGGAGTCCTGGCCACTCTCGCGAACGAGTCCCCGCGTGGCCACGGGTGAGACGAAGCGTGTAGATTGGCTTGCTGTAGTGTTCTGGTCTCGAGCAAGAGAAGTAACACTGAGAAGTTCAGTCTAAGCTCTATATATATATATATATGTGAAAAGGCGTTCCTTTTCGCACAGGAGGCAAGGGGTTGTTTATAGCAGCAAAGAGCATTGAGTAGTTGAAGACCAGGAAAATAGTGGTCACAAAGCAAATCTGTCCCCTTGGTTTAAATGTTCCTCCTCAATCTCGTTGGGATTGTACTTGCAATTGTGACCTCGTCAGCACCGCTACACTCTGCACTCGCACTCCGGGTTTGCGACGGGACGCTACTCTCAGGAGCGGGCATCTCCAGTGCGAGAAGGGCGACTCTTTGGTCAGGCACTCGCCAACCTCGTCAACCTGAACTCAAAGTTGGAAACACTCAGTTGGACAGACACCCAACCGGACACCCTTCTCAATGAAAGGGGCCTCTGGGCATTGCTTCATGGAGACCTGCAAAGAGGGACAGTGACTGGACACCATCTCCACTCCTCTCAGATAGCGAGTCAGCGGCCTCGCCCTGGAAGTTGGCCTGGCTAAAGGTCTTGCCAGCAAAGGACTTCGGAGACACCTCTCAAGTACTTCAGCGGACGTGAACGATCAGAAATCCAAAGCTCACGAAACTGCTGTCCCGGCCTCGATCTTTCCCTGTGCACTACAACCTGGTAAATTCTGAGGTAGATGTGTCGAACCACAGCTCCACCCGCAAACACCACCAACCTCGGATATGCCGGTATGCTGATACAGCAATCCAAAGGGAATCTTGAAGTGTCCCAATGTAGGGACAGCTGGAACTGGTACATCGGCTGACATTGATCTTTCGATATGGCAGCAGAGCTCCCAACTGAGGAGCAAAGAGTGGCAATCTGCACATCTGTGACCTGTTGGGAAAAATGTAAGCCCTGCCAAGACCAAAGAAGTAGCGTCATGCTTGTGAGAATACAATCTTCAACACCGCAAGTCAATGTGTCTCAAATACTAGAGGACATTGAAGACCCCCATCCCTTGTTTCCAAATTCTAGAACCCAGCTGGTAGAAAAGAAGACACATGTTCTGAGTGATTCCATTTTGCTACTTAATGCTATGAGATGCCCATGAGCCATTTACCCAAGCAAAGTCATCTGGTCTTCTCCCTGCTCAGCACCGGCCTCTTTGGCGGTTGAGAGCTGCTCCAAACGCTCAGGATCCCAAGTCATACAGGCCAAGACCTGAGCTGTGCGGTCTTCTCCGTGCGCCAGCGGAGTTCCGGAGTGGAATGCACATCGCTTGGGTGGGGGGTCATTTCCTTCGGATCCTAGTAGCGATGCCCGAAATGCTCCGTTCGTAGCGTCCGATCGCTCCTAGTAGTACGGCCAGGAGCCCCGTTCATAGCGTCCTTGCTCCTAGGATCCGTTAAGGTTCCTTCTTGGACCTGCTGAAGTTCTTGCGTCCTTGTCTTCCTTGTCTTCGAGGCACCCCAGATGAAGAGTTTGACCGTCTCCAACTAAAGAGCTTGATGACGTGTGGAGGTTGTTCAAATTTCAAACGAATTATCTATATCCTCCAACTGCTCAAAGAGGTTGTCTGAGAGGTTGCCCAAACCATGGCCCGCAGTCTGCCAGGACCCTGGCATAAGCTCCACTAAGCCCAGATGGCATTTCTTGCGGCTTGGCAGGTGGGCGTGAACAAGAGGGAGTAGAATGGACAAAGACTGCACCTGGCAAAGCAGTCAAAAGAAATTTCCCATTCCCCCACCACCTAGATGCAGAAGTGCTTGTAAGCAGCGCCTGATTGAGCCTGGGCCAAGAAGGACCATCCCAGACACTCGTGTGTGTCGTCAGGCTCCCCAAGGCTCCCGTGTGCTGAGACGGGGACCGTGTGCTCACTCCAAAACGGTCTCGGGTGAGCGAAACGACGATCACTGACCACCTGGGCGCTTCTCAAACCGTGGAGGAAGGATGGCGGAAGGACACGTGTCCTCCTGCAGGACTTCTTTGTACGGACTGTTCAAGAGGGCTGTCTGAAACTCTTACTGTAATCCTGGGACCCTCTTTTTTCTTGCAAACCAAAATGGGACGTACTGAAGGTGCATGCGTCACGAAACTGCAACACCCGTGTCTGGCATCGCACTCGGTCGAGCTTCAAACTGAACCTTCCACTAGAATCACTAGAAATCTGAACACGAGTGTCTCAGAATGAAGGAGTGCATCAACAATTCTCAGAAGCACAAGAAGCTCAGGGGAAAGTCAGAAGCACTTGGTCCCCTGTCTTCCACGTTTTCGACCACATCCTACTTCCGGTGTGCCGACACCCGTGCGCTAGGTTGTTTGGCCAGGACACCCACCAGTCCTGGAAGTCAGCTGAGGCCAAGAGCACCGGATAGACCGTGTGCGCATGAGCCTTCAAAGCGAGAAACGCAGAAAGCCAGAACATGAGAGTGACTCACTTGGAGTAGACTGAGAGGTGCAACTCATACAATCTCACACATGTGGTATTTTGGTTGGCACAAAAAAAGCCTGCTGATCGGTGCGAGATCACTTGCATCCGGTCGCTCATCGTCCATCCTTTGGATCAAGGCTGAACAGGGCGACGGGCGACCCTGCCTGGGTCAACGCGGAGTCGTTCAACGACAAGCTCACACGGAAGTTCATCTCCTCCGTGCGGTATCCACGCCAAGCCTCGTGGGAAGTGGTGAGGAAAAGGCATGGGAAACACACATGTACATGATGTCTGTAACATGAGGGGAGAAAAGCCCTGGCCGGGTTCTGCTTCTGTTGGTGCCAACATCTCTTACCAAGTCATATTCCACTTGTAAAGGAATGAAAGGAACGGGGCCCCAATTCCAGCAGCCAGCTATGGAAAGTGAGATAAATGTACATGTATAGCCTATAGCTTTACTAGGCTGAGGCTCAGCCCTACCAAAGACAAAGAACTGACTTCACATGATTTCACCATGACAACGATTCTCAGCACTGGAAAACAACTGAGAAGAGCACTGAGCAGCTGTAATTGCACTCACCTGGCTTCACATACTGAGAGGATAAAACTCGACAACTGCACTCCTGCAACACAGTTCCAGGCGTTTGTCTTGCTTGCATGAAGGAACACATCCGCACTGCTTGGAACATAAGCCACATGAGCCCTGGACTTGAAGATTGTGGAATGGCACTCATGTGGATCTTGGGCTTCATCTGCTGCTGCAGCCTCAGAAGAAGGGACCTGCTTCAGTCTCAGTCGCTGAGACCAAGCCATGCCACCAAGAAGCACTTCCTCACTGTCAAAATCTCCGGGCAGAAGCGGAAAAGGACCATAGTCCTCATACCAGAACCTGATGAATCAGCAAACCCATGCAGCAAGACGAAGAACTACAACTCACAAGATCTTTCTGGCAAGACAATCTGATGGATCAGCACTGTGGTCTGGCCAAGGTGACTGTCTAGGCTTGGGGTTCACGAGGAGCCACTTCACCCACAGCGGGAAGATCATCCTGACAGCATGGCACATCAAGGGTCACACCATTGTGAAGTTCTTCAAAGGTCAAAGCAGCTGGTCTTGGATGCATTAATTGCAGCGTAGCTGCAGGAACAACAGAAACTGCCAGACCTCGGCTTCAACCGGTGCAGGGCACAAGGGCGTCTCAAACTTGGTCATTGCTGCAAAACACTGCTATCAATTTGGTCTCGTGCATAGCACCAATGGCAAACACGCTGGGCACTGCACACCTCACAACAAGCAGCATGTCAAAACTGAAGACTCAAACATGGATGTCTCTCCACAAACACCGAACACGCTCCAACGCCTTTTCCCCACCCAGCTTTCGGTTCGGTGCTTTTCTCCGGAAGGCCCAAAACAGGCACCGGGCCAACACCGCTCCATCTCGGCTCCCCGGACGGGCAAACACCGCCGGCGGCGGCTCCGCAGCATCAGCGTCTTCGAGCCATCGGACTCCGCGGAGCCATCGGTGGAGTCCACACCGCTGGAGGTGTACACGAACTCCGTGGACTCCGGATCGCCTGGTGGAAAGGACGGAGAGGTCGGAAGACGAACGAAAAGGGGAGGGGAAGATGTGAGGAAAAGGTGAGGAAGGAGTGTTTTCACTCAGAAAGAACAAGAAGGCACAAAAGAAAAAAACACAAGTAATATCAAATAATGAACAAGTTGGAGGGTTTATCGTTTTTGTGTTCAATCATGTTTTGACTTGTCCTCTTCCTGTGCATTCACATATCAAGCATCATCGAAGCGCCGTTGGCACAAATTGAATTTCAGTCGCATGCTTGCGCTTTTCCACCACAGACTTGGACACAGCTTCGATCCTTTGTGTTCAAGATCCCTCTGTATGAAAGCTTACTAATGTAAGCCGAGCATCTTGTCATGGCTGGCCCAAAGCCATCACTCAGAAGACGCTTAAGTAAATGAAGCAAGATAACCTCCAGTTATGACCTCATGACCTGCAAAGCTGATGAGTGTCATGATGTTGGGTCAACTATTTTGCTTCATCCATCTCGTAACAGGCAATTGGAGCCCTGGATACATTTGAACGGGGCTATGTAGACCAGGGAATTAGTTTCTTCAGATGCTGGCTCATCATGTCCATGGATTCCAAACCTACTGCCTTGCCCCTGCTTCTATGTCAGAGTAAATCTGCAAGCCATTAGCAATGGCCACGGTGTGCTTGCGCGACAACAGATCCATGCAAAAGGCCATGCACTGCAGCATCTTGCAAAACAGTACAAGTCGGTACAAAGTCGCTCCCGTCGTGGCCTTTCCCTCTTGCCCTTTTATCCAATTTCTTCGAGACATCCGAATTCGCCATTGCCCAGGTGTCCTGACTCTTGGAGTGAGACATCCTGTGAAGACAGCTACTCACTTCTGGGTAAAGGAGAAACTGAAGTAAAAGGAAGTTCATCGTTTTGCTGCGAGATCACTCGTGGACGATCGCCATCGGCACAGAGCAAGGAGAGTACCTTGCTGGCCGCAAGGGCTGTTGGATCTTTTAAATTTTGAAGGCCTCGACAAACCGCATTCCTTTGGAAGACAGGCTTCTAGGTCAGCGCCTAAAACGGTTCAAAAACCATCTTTGGCAATCAAGTTGCCAATCTTGTGTCTTCAGACACTTCAAAGGCTTCTCTTTCTTGCTCTTATTTGTGAATTCCTTGCAATCATCTTTCACTTCAAACAGTCCTGTGCTTGGTCAACCTGCTTGGTAGTCCTTCCAATGGTTGTGCTGAACTCCCGCATGAATCCAGCCCGGGATTCTTCACAGACCTCCAAATCAAGATCGTTGGTTGGATTCGCTGTGACTGTACTTGACCGACAGTCAGCCGCGGATAGAAGCATTGGAGGATACTGGGAAGGGCGAGAGGAAGGCCCTTCCTCCTCATCCTCTTCTCCCTCGCCTGCCATGCTCGTGTGGTGATCGATCAAATCATCCAAAGACTCAAAGATGTCCGTGCTCTTGGAGGGTAGGAAGCGATATCGCCTTGAATCACCTTCAGAGCGCGCTAGGTAGGAGGTGATGGAAAATCGGGCTGCCTTCTTGCCATGTCCATGTGGAGTGAATGTGGGAGGTACTTGTCTGTCTGGCTGAAGCAGCTCCATCAGTCGTTTGTTCCAATCTTGTTGCATCTTCCCTAAAGGAAGATCATTGGGGTCATCGCCAAAGGGATGGTCGATCTCAGCTGAGATGAAGAAGAGCGCCCAAAAGCCTGAGATGGCAATGAAAGTGACCAATCCTGCACAATACCAGGGATGGATATACTGGCTTGTAATCGTCGCTGTAATGACCGAGTGAACAGCAAGCATTGTGACGATCAGCTGAGCATATGGAAATGGGAATGGAATATCCCGAATCTTGGCCAAGTCTGACACTCTCACTCGCCCCCTTCCCAAGTCTTGAAATGAGCGCGAGAGAATTGGAGCAGGTGCTATCAGCACCTTCTTCAAGTGGTTATCCAAGATCAAACGACTTAACCATAGGCACAACACGTCACATCGGTTGACACTATCTCGCAGCTGCCTCAAACTCTTCACGTCAATTCCATAGACATCTATGAGCTCCAAGCGCTTGTCGGCCAGCTTACACACTGCCTGCAAAGCAGAGCAATGTAAAAGGCTCATCAATCTCACTAAAAGCTCCTGGAAAATGACGACTTCCTCTGCTTTCTCTTCCTCTGGTGAGCAAAATGCGATCAAACTAGTGCACACGTTGAGCCATTCTCCACGCATCTCATTCATCAGAGTTGCGCCTTCCCAAAAGCGGGAGTAAGCCTGGTTGTTGCGGAAGACGACCAAAAAAGAAAGCACGAATGAATAGCTGGACCACACAGAATTGAGACTGGTGATCCATTCTTCGCCATCCCAATAGAGCTCAAGCAAAACGGCCAAGATGGTCATAGGGAGCGACCAGGTCAAAGTCTTTGGGAAAACTGAACCATTGCATTTCAGTACTCCAAAGCACACCCACCATGTTCCAAGCTCATAGTCAATCATGGCTTTGCGACGATTCGGCGACGATTCGGCGACGATTCGGCGACCTTCCAATCTCGGAACACAAAAGCTGCCATGTTCGTAGCCGTCAAAAACATGAACAGCCAACAGCACTGCATGTTGTAGGCAGTCTTTTGCACCTATCGACAGTTCTAGCCGAATATCACAAAACCCATTCCATTTATGTCAGTTTCGTGTTCCCTTGCCTTGCTCGCCTCTGCTGAAACGCATTCTGTGATTCCGTGGGTCAGGTCAGTTGGGTTTCCAGGCACTTTTGCGTCAAGCGTTTCAAGTGCCAACTGAAAGGGCGACCAAAACATCTATATACTGTAGTTGAAACTGTGGAATTCAGCTAAGGAACGGTGCAATAGGCACACTTTTAAGCAATGGAAAGGAACAACACCACCAAAATTAAAAAATATGCTAGGCAATTTGTCTCAAAGTGGCATGTATCAATACAATGGCACTCGGGAAATTTGATGCTTGAAAAACCCTCCTTGGGAATGCCCTGTGAAAACGGGCATTACGGCATCATTTTTGCATGGTACTTACAAACTACACGGACAGGAGTGGCATGAGACTCCTCGCTGGGAAAACGTTTTGAAAACACAACAAAGAACATTTGTGCATCTAAGGCCTGTCAATTGACCAGGACATGTTGAACAATCACATGAACAAACGGCACAAACAACGGTCAAATACAGGAGGTGGAGGGCGAAAGTTCTCACAAACACATGTTGTCTCGAATCGTTTGATGGCATGAAGTAAAACTCAAAGCTGCGCACACCTTTTCTACAAAAGTCTGGGGTCCAAGCACTCCTTGGGCTGAGGGCTTGGCTGTAGCTGTCATCAAAGCCCCAGCGGAACTTGAAAGTGGAAGCTGGGGAAAAAAGGGGTGGGGGGGGGGGCCTCACTTTTCGGCCGGGAGAAAAGCAAACCCACCCACCCTACCCTTTAAGCCAAACATTGCAAATGAAAATGCCATCCGCTCCTGATGTCGCTTAAACTCTCTCGAGACCGAACGATCGTCTTCGACGAGCTTATCAGTCTCGAATCGTTTGATGGCATGAAGTAAAACTCAAAGCTGCGCACACCTTTTCTACAAAAGTCTGGGGTCCAAGCACTCCTTGCCCCATTTAAAATTGCTTGGCCCTTATCGTCTGACGAAAGGTGTGCAAAAACTCAAAGAACTCTTTGCCAGCTTCTGCAGTGCAACGCTGTTCATCCTTAAGGAGCGGATGCACTGAAAAGCGAGAGGGGTGGTCACTGATATTACATTCAGTCGGGACTCTAGCGAACCAAAGATGCGAACCGAGTTCAGACTCAAGTTCGAGCTGCAAATAAATCAAAGCATTTCCTATCTCTCCTTGTGCACTTCCTTTGATAAGCGCGAAACGCACTGCATCATTGTCTCCAAAGTGCACCGTCAGGTTTCCAAAAGCAAAGTTCTTCCAGAATCTGAGAGCAAAGACTGCGCTCAAAAGCTCCAGCTCATAAATGATCGTGTCTTTCCGAGAGGATCCAAACACCTCACACAAGTTGGAATCAAGGAAGATTCCAAACCAAGCAATGCAAATGCCATCTCCACTCACCAGTACAGCGCCCAAGCCTCCGGTGGAGGTTTCTGGTTCAAAAGCCGCATCAGTGTAAACAAAGAATTGCTGCAGATCAGTCAAGTCTATTCTCTTGGGCTTGCAGGCGAGAAGTCGGTGGCGCATCCAGGTCAGCGCACTCTCGAGAGGCTTGCCAATTCGAGCTTCTGTGCCATAGGCGTGTTCAACAATCCTGTTCAGAACCATCTTGCCCAACCTTCCGTGAACAAAGCTGTCAGCAAACCCTAACCTCCCTCGAAGGACGAGGGATTCATGCTTCGACGTGCAACCGTTGACTAGCATTCGATCGATGTGCTCGATCAACTCCTGCTTTCGTGCTTCTGTATTACCAATGGACAGGATACGGTCGCGAGCAAGACTAAGGTCAAACTCTACTCCGAGGGCATGACAAATCCTGGCGAAGTCGGTTGCTTTTTTGCCGTCTCGAGCAAATTCCCAGCCAGTCAAAAGAAAAATCATTTCCATACCATGTTGCGCCGACTTCTGATTTGCTTCCTTTGAAACCAAAATGAAGTCGTCGTAGAAATTAGTATTCAGCAGAAAAAGACCTCTACACGCAATGCTATGTAGGGAACGAGCCAATCGGAGGAAGTTGTAAACACTGTGTGTTGCACCAAAAGGCAAAGTCTTCATTCTGTAGATCTCCGATTTATCAAGCTCATGGTTGTATATGCAGAAGTAAGCAAACTTCAAATGCTCACCTCGGATCGGAACTTGACGGTAGGCGCTCTTCAGGTCGTAGGTCTTTGCAAGGAACTCTGAATGAGATCCAAAGTGCTCGCAGCGCCGAAAAAGTTCTTTCATGAGAGCTGCAAAGGTGTCGACCATGTGCAGATCGATTTTGTGATGGGTGGAGGTGCACTCGTTGACCCCACTGACAGAGTAGTCATCGATCATACGGATCTTGGAACCTTGACGAAGTGAAAACCTTCTTGAAATCACTGAACCCTGTTCCAATTGGGAGAGCTCGAATGGACCTTCTGCCCAACCTTTGCTCAGCTCAAGACGTGTCTCCTCTAGGAGCTTCTGGTCCAGTTCTAACTCGCCACACGATGTAGCCATCTTGACTATTGCCTGATTCCTCCTGGCCGAACCTGCAACCAACTGTTCAACTGTGGCCATGCAAGGTTTGTACTGTGCTTTGAACAGCGAACACTTGTGAACATCCCCAACCAAAGTCGACCCGTGCCGAAGAATGTCCAACACACCCATGTCTTCATAAGAAATGTCTTGCAAGATCTCTTCAGTGAGTAGCAAGCGTTTGGCTTCTGTATTTTGTCTGACATGTTCCGGTCGCTTCAAACGATCAGCTGTTTCTTGCTCTGCCAGTTGAGAAGCTCTTTTGAGCCATTTCCTGCACCAGGACATCCTGTAGTTCGCCATTTGCTCTTCAGTGAACTCCAGTTGTTTAGCCATTGCAATCTCCAGGTCGTCCGACAGGGCCAGTGCATTGGCCATAGGATGTCCAGAATTGCACGCATGTTGTATAAAAGATTCGCAGTCCCAGGGAAGTCCAAAAACGACCCCCACACCTTCTTCTGAAAATTTTCTCTTCTTGGCCCCCTCAAGATCCTCGGGAGTACCCCCCTTGGAAAGAGTCGAGAGGGGGAATGAGCGCAAAAAACGAGAGTGGCAAGGAATGGTAACTGGAGCGCCCTCCAAAGTGAAGGCGGCAACATCTTTTGAAAGCTTGCTCAATAGACTGCAAGGGATGTCACTCAAAGATGCCACTGCAAATGTTGCTGCTGAAGAAAAATCCGGAACAATCTGTGGTAGTTTGTTACCCCTGGGCTGGTTTCCCACAGCAATCTGCGCATTGTGAGCAGCATGCAAAGGGTGTGAGTGAATTTCTTGTAGTTGAGCTGGCAGCAAAACAGCGCCTTGACGATGTAGAGCTTGCAGGATGCATTGCACTATGGCAATGCACAACTGTTTTGGATACTTTGACTCCAAACTTGTTGCCCAAACACGGGAGCCGTCATCAGCTTTGGCAAATCGCCAAGGATCATGTTGATGCGAATTGTCACACCGGGCGTTGATCTGAGAGAGTTCGTCAAAGTTCCCAACAAGTCTCGACCATTTGGGTCTCTTTCCACCGTACATGCAGGCTTGAAAATCAGTTATGGTCAAAGCCACACTCTGCCTAAGGCGAGTGAACCAATCTGTAAGCCAAAAATATGAATTCGAAGGGTTCTCCATTGTAACTAAAATATTGCAAGCAGCTGCGTCCTGAAAGAGCTTGCAACTGTATGCGAACAAATCATTGGCAACAACGACTCGGGTCATATCCTTCTCCGACAGGTCAGGCAGGCCATGCGGATAGTCATTCGACCTGAGAGGCTTGGGGCCAGACCAATGCCGTTGGATTTCACGCGCTCTGCTTGCAGTTCCGCAAACAGGCGCCATATGCAGCCAGCAAAATAATGGAGATTGCATCCACTCTGCGACCAAATTCCTGTGCTCCAAGTTTCTCAAGTCCAGTTGAACAATGGAACTGTAAGCACCCGACTTGCGATCCTTGTCAACAGCAATACTGCCCAAAAGTCCACACTGCTTGGCAGTTGCACACAGTACGCCGTAGCCTGCAAAGATTTCGATCATAAACAACTGTTCTATGTGAATTCCTTGAAACTTCAATGCATTGGGTTGCACTGCAAACGATCACTGCCCACTCTTGCCACGCTTGCTCAATGGATGAGGGCCTTGGCAACGAGGTTCACAACATAGATGCCAACCTTTCGGACAGCGCTCTCCATCTTTGACTGTCTTTGAATGTTGGCAGCCTGCAGCAGTGTTGTAGCCGAAGCAGAGCGGCTCTCCCTGAGCATTCTTGTACCACTTGCCTCGTAGTTCCGCAGGCATTGAAGGGGCAGACGACTTGCCTTTGCCCTTTCCCTTTGTTTTTCCTTTCTCTGTGCTCCGCTCCGAGCCCTTCTGTGATCCGTAGGGCTGAGCCCGCCAAGAACTTGACTCCGATGCAACTGAAATCGGCTTTGCAACTGGCGACAAGTAGAGGACAATGTTTGGATCAGCACGAAGGTTGAGCAGTGCTTCTCCTAGAGGATATGTTCCATCAGCCCGTTGACGGATCGTTGAAAGACTGCTTGCTAGTCGAGTCCATGCTGCCCTGTCGCATTGCAGAAGTTGAGCAAGACTTGGACGCTGAAATCCCGGTGGAGCTTCACGATGAAGAGCGTCAACTAGAAAACTGAACCACTCACTGTGCTGGGCATAGCTCATGAGATTTGCAAACTGAAATGCGAGTGCCCTCCTCTGCATGGCGTAATGCACTTTGAGCTCTGTATCAGTTGGGGAGGTCAACTTTTCACTCCCTGCTTTGAGAACTAATGAGCCCTTTTCAAGACTCAACTCGCGAGACTCCTTTTTGCCCTGCACCTCGAAAGCCCTGCTGATGCAAGCTGAAGGCTCAATGTATTTAACAATGTTCTGTTCATACAT